TTGTATTGTACATGGATAGAATAATCAGGAGCTGCCTAGGCGATGATGGTATCGGTGTAGGAGACGTGAAAACGAGAAGGTTGCTCTTTGCAGACGGTCTTGTTTTATTAGCGTTTGCTGAAACTAATCTTCAGTGCTCCCTAGAAAGGTTCACAGCCGAGTGCCACGTGACCGGCATGCGTACGAATGCATCTAAAACGAAAACCGTAGTGCTTCGTCCTCCTTCTGCCTGCTGCTCTCTTCAGATTAACGGAGAGGCAGTGGAGGAGGTGGAGAAGTTCAAGTACCTCTGAATTGTATTTACTAGTGATAGAAATTTGGAGGAAGAGATCGACCGGCGAATTGGAGTAGCCAGTGGCGTTCTGCGTGAACTAGCCGGACCCATTGTGACTAAAGAAGAGCTCACTCTGAAAATTAAGGTGCTGTTGGAGTCGATTTTTATGCCCATACTTACCTACGGTCATGAATCGTGGACCATCACTGAAAAACTTCCAACTCGGGTACAAGCTGCTGAAATGGGCTTTCTTAGACGAGTCTCGACATCATCCGGAACACAGACATCTGTGAGAGCCTTGGTGTGCAGCTGCTGCTTCTTCACACTGAAATATGACAGCTGCAATGGTTTGGGAGTGTTGCGAATGCCTCCAGAAATGAAGGCGAAACAACTTTGCTGCGCAGCCGAACGGCGGTAGGTCCAGAGGGCGACAAAGATTAATTTTGTGCAAATATATGGAAGGAGTTTGCTCCAGACTCGAGTTGTCTTCTGCCGAAGCTGGGACTCTGAGGCTGGATCAGGAACGCCGAAAGCACTGTCCCGTTTGAAGCGTCTGCCTTCGCGACCCCAAATCAGCACCGTTCTTGTTGAAGGAAGATGATAATTAATGTAGGCCATAACGAGCTCCAAAAATTAATTAATCATCAGTTTTCCAGTTACTTTGTTTGCAGAAATTTCGATTGTATCACTATATGAATGTTTTTTTTCTCAAACTACGAAGATGTTGGCAACACTGAAGTTTCAGATGAGTAAATTTAGGAGAAGTTACTCTTAATACTCTCCAATATGATCAGCAATATTTAAGTATATGTGCTTATGTTTTGGTCATGATATTACCGCGAGGGTATGGTTGCACCGATAGTAATGCTTGTTGCATATGTTAAAAGTTCTCATTTACGGAACTGGCTGCTGACCAATGACATTTTTTATATATTATCGTTTTAATCATGATCCAAGTACTAACGGTGCATTCAATCCTGCATTCTGTGTCTATTCTTTAGTACTTAGTAACATAATTTCGAATATGAGTCGAATAGTTAACACAAATTGTAATAAGGTGGTAAAATTGCGTACGAAGACGAAAAGAGGAATTTTTACGGAAACACACTTATTCAGAAGAATAATTTACGACTATGCGTTTAATCGAGCATTCGCAAAATATGAAGAAACAAGT